AACAACAACAACATACACAACTCTGGTAGCGTAGTGGTTACAAATTGGGCTGCGAATTTCATGGTCAGCAGTTCGAAACTACCAGCTGTGCCATGGGAGAAAGATGAGGCTTTCTGCTCCCGTAAAGATTTACAGCTTCGGAAACCTGTGAGTTGGAACCGACTCCATGGCACATAACAACAACAACAACAACATGCACAACCAAAGGAAGCACGTCCGGGTCCTGGGCCAACCTCACAATTGTTAACGCTTGAGCCCACGATGCTGCCACTATGCCAATCCATCTCACTGGGGGGTCTTCCTCTTTTTCTCTGACCCTCCACCTTATCAAACATGATATCCTTCTCCAGTGACTGGTCCCTCCTGATATGTCCGAAGTATGAGAGATGAAGTTTGGCCATCTTGGTCTCTAAGGAGCACTCTGGCTGCAATTCTTCCAACACAGATCTATTAGTTCTTTTGGCAGCCCATGGTACTTTCAATATTCTCTTCTAACACCATAACTCAAATGCATCAATTCTTCTATGATCTTCCTTATTCACTGTCCAACTCTCACATGCATGTGAGGTTATTGAAAACACCATGGTTTGGATCAGGCACACTTTAGTCCTCAAGCTGACAGCTTTGTTCTTCAACACTTTAAATAAGGGGTCTTGTGGGACAATGAAACCCCATGGAACATAGTACTATTCTGACACAAAGGGTCGTCAGGGGTTGGAGTCTAACTTGATGGCTGGTAGCTGGCTTGGAGTCCCTGGGTGGTGGGAACTGTTAACACACTTGTCTGTAATGGTTTGTGATTCAGGTCCACTCAGAGGTACCTTGGAAGAAAGGTCTAGTGATCTACTTCCAAACCATCAGCCATTGGGAATCCTGTGGAACATAGTTCTACTCTGACACAGGTGGAGTCTCAAGTTAGGTTGACGGTTGGTTCGTTGGCCACATGGTTACTATATGGTCACATGTTTACTATATGGCCATATGGTTACTGTATGGATAAGTGGTTACCATATGACCACATGGTGTCTGAATGTGAGATTGGTTAGAAAAGAAGCCACACTCTTGAAAGAAGCCCATTTGCGCCAGGATCTTCCTTTTTTATCAGCAACACAGGAAAGACATGGAAACCCTGCCTGGAAATTTTTTGGCGCAAAAACAGTAAGAAACATGTTGGATTGCAGGGCCAAGATTCCAAAGATCTTCCCAGGCTAACATACTAAATGAAAACCCAGGAGCTAACTTTCATCATCCGCTTCTTAAAATGATTTGTTTGGTACAAACCCAGGGTCAGGGCGGATGGTTCACATGAATATAGGTTGAGTGTGTAGTCTGCATAGGGACTGGAGAAGGAGAGAAGGTACAAACCCAGGGTCAGGGCGGATGGTTCATATGAATATAGGCTGAGTGTGTAGTCTGCATAGGGACTGGAGAAGGAGAGAAGGGAAAAGGAGGAAAAGGACATTTCAGATAGACCAGTTAGATGAGAGGGGGCCTCAAAAACTTTATGGAGAAGGGGAATTTAAAAAGAGAAATGGGCTTTTCCCACAATTTTTTTTACAGACTCCCCGCCCCCCCACCTAAGGTTGTATCTACCAGAGAAATCCAAACCAAACCAGGTGCCTTCCAGTCAACTCTGACTCACGGCTACCCCAGGTGCGTCATTCTAGAACCGTACTCCATGAGGTTTTCAATGGCTGGTTTTCCCGGAAGTACATCTCCTGGCCTTTTTCTGAGGCCTCTCTGAATGGCCTTGAACCACTAACTTTCTGGTTAGCAGTCCAGTGTGTTAACTGTTCACACCACCCATGAACCCTTCTGAGAAGACCTAGATAATCCCACTCACTAGATGAACGAACTTCATTCTCAGTCTAGAAGGATTCTCTGTTTTCTTTATTGTGGTGCAACTATACACAACACAGCATGTATACCATCGCAACAATTCCTACATGTATGATTCAATGACCTTGATTGTGTTGTACAAATGGTGCAGCCATTCTTACTGTCCTGTTCTGAATCTTTCCTCCCCTATTACCATCGACTGACATTCCCCTAAACAACATTTCCCTTCTTTCCTCTTCTTCCTACCCCTGGTAACCATGATTAATCTTTGGTCTCTACGTACGAGTATTTAGTCTACCCATATACGAAATCATACAGTAGTTGTCCTTTGTGACCAACTTACTTTGCTCAGCACGTTGTGTGCAAAGTTCATCCATGTTGTAGTATATGAAGACTTATAGATCTTGGTGGTGTTGTTAGGGTCGTCGAGTTGGTTCTGACTCAGTGACCCTGTACAGTGTTCACAAGGAGCGGCTGGTGTTTCTGAACCGCTGATGTTGTGGTTCAAACTGACCTTAGGGTCGAGTGTTTATCCTATGCCACCACACCAGGACTCTCTTAATAGCTTCAAAAGATAATGGTAATGGTCAACATCTGGTAAAAGCTGCCTCTGCGAGCCAGACTTTATTGGTGAGTCATTTCAAAGATCATGGCCACTTTGGGGTTTGACCAGGCGATGGGGGCATACTGCAATGTGGCAGCCTTGGTGTAAGGGCACATTTTAGGGGACTTCCCTTAAAGGTCCATGCAGTGGCAGGCACTGATTTATTTCCACGTGAGGGACATTACATTTGCAGTGCTCTCTGCTTTTCCATAGGTATGTGGAACTGACCAACTACAGCGATTACAAAGACTACAGGGAAACTATTTTGAGCAAACCAATGCTCTTCTTTATTAATGTACGGAACAAAAAAGATGCTTCAAAAGGTAGGTAACTAAATGTTTTTCATGTGGCTCTGCTTGTGGGCTGTGGTGTGTAGGAGGCAGAAGTGGAACATGATGAAGGCAGTAAACACCAAATTGTGACAAGACCAGGAGCAGCGTGGCTGAGGTCTTAGGTCATCTAAAGTACAGCACTAGCCTGCAGAGGAAACCTCTCAATGATTCTAGGGAAGAAGCCATTTGTCTCAGAGTTTTCTTTTGTATAGCTTGTCCAGACCAGAAGTGGGTTTACATTTTGTGTTTCCTGTCTAGACAGGAAGTGAGGTGGCACTCAGCACTTCTTATTTAAGGAAGAAGTGAGCTGACATTTTGAGCTTGCAAGAAATCCTGCTGTGGAGCTAGCTGTAGGATGCACACAGACTGTGAACCACAAGGTCAGCAGTTCAAATTCATCAGTTGCTCCTCGGAAACCCTGTACAGAGTCACTATGAGTCAGAACCAACTCAACAGCACTTACCAACAACAGGATTGTGCAAATAACTGGAATGGTGATGACAACAACAGTGAAGACATATAGTGCTACCTGTCGTATCATCATCATCATCATCATCACCATTGCAATAGGCAACAGATGGTTGAGAGATGATGGTACTGAAGGAAGACATCTAAGCTACACTGAAGGTATTGGCAAAGATCAAGGCTCCAAGAATTGAT